TATTATTAAGAAATTGAACCTTGGGCTAATTCAACCCCAAAAGCTAGCTCATGAGGTGAGGATTGCCTAAAGCCGTATAAGGAGACAGTAGCTCATTCACTCAACTAATGTGGGACAATTAACAACTATGCTTTAACATAATCAGCATAATTGACTATCCTATGTTGGATTAATCCCAATTCGATCTTTTGGAATTGTCTGTTATCCTACATGATCTTTAAGTCATCAATGAAAATGATGAAAAAAATGTATATAAACTTTAAAGTGTTGTCATGCTTTGGTATCATATTCACCATGAATCAAAATAAATATACATAGTTCAATGAATTAACGTCTGCTCAATTTTATTTTATTTTATTTTTGAAAAAAAAAACCCTTCCAGTACCTTCCTGATCCTCAACTAAATAATAGGCATTCAATCTATGTTCCAACTACTCTATATTTCTATTTCAACACATGAAGAGTGATACGTGAAAGCACAGATAATAAGGTATTCACTTTCTTGGTTTTAAAGATGTAATCAGTTTTTTCTTTTTTTTTTTCTTTTTTTTTTTCAATTTGGAAATTTGTATTGCGAAGGAATGAGAATACATGTAAATAAATAAATAAACATTTAGATGGAATGTTTGCCTAATGCTTTTAGAAGGTGTGTTGCCAGGCTCTTTTCTGTTTGGCATCCTGCTTTTGTTGAATTTAATACTTGCCTCTATTGGTTCAGATTTCTGTCATCTTACCATGGAAAGGATGATCAACTAGTCTATTATAGTTCTCATTGAATCTTGTTCAATATTTAAACTAAGTAGTTTACTTCTGATGACAAAGATTAATCGATAGCTGCATGGTAGTGGTAGTACTTTCTAAAGCTGAAGTCTTTGTTCCCTCTTGACATGTGAAAGCTAAAATCAACTAGATAAACCAAGTTAACAAGTTAAACAGTCATACATTTGCATTTAGGATTAAATTCAGGTCCATCACTGAAATTGGTTTTCGGTCTCTTTTAATCTGCAGGTGCCATCAAATTGGAAAAAGCTCATTGGACGCTAACTGTAATACCTGCCGCAGGTTAACTACTTTAGCCATGTGTCTTGATTGTAGTAATACCTTTTGTGACAGGTAATTTAGCATCCTTTGAAGAGATCTCAGCTTTATGTATTATAATATTGCTTGATGAATGAGTATGTGTCACCTTCTTTTGACAGCATCAAATAGCTTTGTTCAGAAGGGAGTGATGACTTGTTAGGATGGAAAAATTAACAATAAGAAAAGTGTTAGAATAGCAAACTTTGGTGCCTTCTCCTAATATAGAAATTACCTCTCCCCCTCATTCGGTGTGGCTCCTAAAGTAGGTCTATACATGTTGCTTGAGACTTGATTGGAGGATCTGCTTTTATTGGGGGATAATAGGGGAGATCCCCTACTTCCATGGTTGAACGTAACCAATAAAGATTTGCAAATATTCAAATAAGGAGCTGGGAAACTGAAGAGATACCTTTTTGAACATCACAGTTCTTGGCCTTCTGAACCAGTGGAGGTTATGATTTTTCATTGTAGTGCAGAGGAATTGCTTAATCTTTATCTATGTTGATCTCAGTGCAGGTCACCTGAGAGAACATATCACTGGACATCCCTCTCACAGACAATATTACTCCTACAAGCTCAAGCGCTTGGTAAAAGCTTTTACCTATCTTAGTTCCCATAAATTCAATTTGTCGTAAGTTATGTGTTTCATATTGTACTTAAGGATGTGTAAAATGTGACCGTTAAAGGGCAGCGTAAGGCTTCTAATTTTCGTTATAGTACTATATTTTTGCAATTTAATCATTATTAAGACGCAAATGTGCCAAAACATAATATCGGCATATTAAATAAATACAAGCTACATTTTGTTTATGCTAATTTTTGGAGCATCAATATGAGAAAAGTTTACTTAATTTGACATACCATTGGAGTCCAAAGTCATATATGCTTGATAACTTTCCATGGAGTTCTATCGACGCTAGTTATACGTTCAGTTGTCTTAACTTCAGGATGGCAGCCTGTATACAATGCCAATATAATCTAAGATTTAGTAGAGCTCCCTGTTTCATTGCGTGCCAGTGTTTTGAATCACTGCTTCTGATATTAACTCCTCCCAAGTGAGCTTTGCAAAGTATAGCCGGTCCCAAGCCCTAAAGGAGAGTTGGCTATAGGTTGACAGCCAATGTTAAAGTAGTCTAGTCATGTGTGGGATCCAATTATACTAGCGCTAATACCCCATCCCATCAGAACTCCAAAGCTAAGCATTCCTGACGAGAGTAGAACTAGGATGGGTGATCCCCTATGAAGTCCTAGTGTTGCGTTCCTTGCCGACCTCAACTAGTTTGGTATTAAGGTATAGTTATAATTGATACTGATTTTAATTTTATCACCATTTAGTTGTTCTTAATATTCTTATATACAGCTTGAGTTTATCATGTTTACCTGTACGTTCGGCATGCTTAATGACACAGTTATTTTACATAGGTAAAATGCTGCAAATCTACGTGCAAAGTGAGAGACATCAAGGATCTTTTAGCTTGTCACTATTGTTTTGATAAGGCTTTCGACAAGTTCTACGACATGTATTCTGCAACTTGGTATGTGGTGGTTTTACATCTAATGGTCGTGATATATTTTGTGAAAGCATGACTTGACTGGTCAACTCAGTGATTGACCGTAGACCCGCTACCCAGTCCCTTCATTGTGTTGTTGTGCCGGACAGCGACTTGTACACATTAAAATGCCAGTTCATGTCACTGTCATGTGAAATTCTCAAGCGCAAGAATGTAGGCCCTTAAGACAGGAAGTGATAGTTGCCATTGGTGCCCCTCCCAGCAAAAACACCATCCTAACAAAAAAGACGATTTTTACTCAACATAAAAATTATAAAGACAACTTATTCTAACGTCTTGATAAAATGATTGATCATCATAATGTGCTTTGGTTCAAAAGGCATTCCCTCATATAGCATGTTATGACTAAAATTCTCTTGAATCCAATTCCTAAGCTATCCACTTCTCTGAACTTGTTCAGGGCCTGGTATAAGCATTTTATTTTAGAAAGGTAACAGATTTTATGTATCATCAGCACAAAAGCTGTGCTGGAGCCATATTTACAATATCAAAAAGCCAAAAAAGCACGGCCTTGTTCTTCTTACAAGGATTCTATAACATCCAATAGTGAATCTGAATCATCCAAGAATTCCTCTTTCCACCAGAAATGAAACAAAGGAAGGCATTTCATCTTAATCTTCTGGATTGAGCTGCATTTGTCTTCAAAACATCTTGAATTTCTTTCCTGGTGTAAAGCATTTTATTCCTCGTAAATGACCAGTTAATTATTTTGCTATATTCAGGAAAGCAGCTGGCCTTTCAATTATCTGCAATTCCATTTGCTGTGAGGATCACTTTGAATGGTGAGTGAATAACTTTAATAATTTCTTGCATGTTTTGTAATACCTCATCTCCATACTCAGACTACAAGAGCTACCTCCACAGGCACAGGATAAATTGCTTGAGTGCGGGTGTAGAAGATAGTGCCTACATTGTACAGAAACATTCTGCAAGTAAGAACTATGTATTGAGCAACTTCATCTTCTGAAGAGTTGATGCGAGATGATGTTTCCTTGCGGAGCAGTATGAGTTGGTGCTGAAGTTACTAAGCTATTTTTCATCGTCACAGTTTAATGTTTGTTGATGCTTTTTGAGCTGCTGTCTGATAAACGAGTTAGCTCTCTGATAAACGAGCATTCTGGGTAAGCAAAGCTGGAAAAAGAAGTTGCCATTATCAATTGCAAGGCAACATTTCTGAAATTTTGTTGTGTGCTGAGGTGCGGAGTGACCATTGTATACTCATGGAAAACTGAAGATGGAAGATAATTATGAGTTCCTTGAGTTGCCGTCTCGTTCACTTCCGTGCTTCATATGTTGTAAATTCACTATAGAATTAATATATATATAGAGACAATGTAAAATGTTTTAACGCTGATTATGTATTTTAACCTTTTATGGTAGGTAACGTCTCTTTGCCCTTTCAGGGTAGGGGTAAGGCTGCGTACATCCTACACTCCCCAGATACCACTTGTGGGATTACACTGGGTTGTTGTGGTTGTTGGTAGGTAACATGTTTTATTTCTCAAATTGTTATCCTATGTTTTATGGATAGTTACGTATAGTTAACTTTTCACTCTTATTAGAAGTTAAAAACTCAATTGACCATAAACTTTTTCCCACCGGACCGATAGTTGTCGACTTTGACAAGTATCGAGTCTATGTAAATACAATGGCTTAGTGTGTCCCAAGTCCGAATATGTTACAAAAGTTTAACTAACGATTCAATCAAACAAATTAAACAAATCTATTAATTCTTAAAATAAATTTGAAAAGTAATTACTCCTATTTTTTTCCCGGGTCAGTACCGTAGAACGGGGTGAAAGTCAAAAATAGCAAAATTTACAAGTGATAATTGAAAAATAGCCGCAATTTCAAAAGTAATCGAAATTTAGCCACTTTTCATATAAAGATAAATATGAACGAAAACATTGTTCAAAATCTGGAAAATATTCCAACATACTGGAGTTCGAATTTTTTACATGTGAACTTCCAGCATAATATATTGGAGTTACAGTATATTTATACTGGAACTCCATCATAATATATTGGAGTTATAGCAATATATACTGGTCCAGCATAATATGCTGAAAGTTCATACACATGTGCCCAAATTTTCAGTATATTATGCTTCAACTTTTCGTGTGATGGAGTTTCAGCATAATATGCTGAAAGTTCATATACAAGTGCATTAATTTCCAGTATATTATGCTAGAACTTTTCGTATTGTAATAAAATAGTGACTATTTTTTAATGACTATGTAAATGCTGGCTATTTTTCAATTATCAGTCCGAAAATTAGCTAATACATGGTTGTTTTACATTAGAACGCCGACAAGGCCCATTATAAGAGAAACCAGAACCCGATATCGATCTCATGCTAACTTCAATTCCCCAAATTAGGGATATCAATTTCCCCAAAACTCATCTGCCAAAACTTATTGTTCCTTTCAGAGATCTAAACCAATCAAGTTATGGGAGGTCATGGAGGTTTGAACATTCTCCCACAGAAGCGATGGAACGTATACAACTACGAAAACCGCGAGAAAGTAAAGCGAGACGAGGAAGCCGCAGCTAAAGAGGAACAGCTCAAGCAGGAACAATCTCGCAAGCGCGACTCAGAATATCGCCTGGAGCAGCTCCGTCAAGCGCGTGGCTTATTATCATCGTCGTCGAATCACGTCAAAAAATCGTCGTCAGGACAGAAATCGCCGGAGAAGAAACCGGAACCATCAAAATCGGCGGAGGAGAAACGTGGAAAATCGGATTCTAAGCACATCAATTTATTCGAAGGGATTCGAATCTTCGATCCAGTTAAAAAAGTAGAAGAAGATGAGGAGAAAAACGGAAGGAATAATAATAAGAGGATTAAGAAAGAGCAAGCGCCTAGGGTTATTACTGCGGAGGATGAGAAGTATAGGTTAGGATATGGAATTGTTGGTAAAGGAACGAAATTGCCTTGGTATATGGAGAATAAAACGAGAGATGATGATGAAAAGAGTGACGAAGATAATGATAATGATTATTATTCGAAGCCTGTAAAAAAGAGTAATGGAGGAAAAAAGACGGTGGAGGAATTGCGAGAAGAGCGGTTAAAGAGGGAGAGGAAGGAGAAGGAAAGAGAAAAGGCTTTGTTAATGGAGAAGAGTCGAAGAGATGGAGGATTTTCGCGGTTAGAGAGGGAGAGGAAGGGGAAGGAAAGAGAAAGACCTTTGTTAATGGAGAAGAGTCGAAGAGATGGAGGATTTTCGTGACGAAGATGAGGTGGGTATCAGAGTCGGATCCAGGTTTTAAACTCAATTCGTTCAGCCTATAAGGTTCTTTGCTCTAAACTCATTATACATCTAAATTTAAGGGTTCAGAAGCTAATATTTATTAAATTTTTAGTGGTTTTCTCATGTATATTTATGTTCTATATCAAAAGTACTGGTTCAGTTGAAATTTTAGTGGCACATCAAAGTTGCTAATGAGTTGTTCGTATCATTGCTTGTTTGTTTTACAATTCGTTGATGTTTTTCAATGTAATGAGCTATAAATTTCTGGTGAGACTGTGTTGTTTGTTCTCGAGTTTTTGGTTGTAGTTCAGGTTACATTTTAATTATATATTTTAACATTTTCCTGAGTTTCATGCGTTTCCATTTTCCTCAAGCTTGTACACGATTTTTCAGTTAGTAGAAGTTTTGGCACTTGGGTGGTGGTTTAGGTTCAGAATTAGGTTAGTTAGAACTGAGAAGTGATAAAGATAAAGTACTCTCTACTCTAGAAGAATTGCTGACAAGACTACTGAGCAAACTCTGAAGTATTTTCCATCATGTGTCTTCTGGTTTTGGAACGCTTTATAGAGGTAAAGAATTAACCCATGCTTCAGATTTCTCGTAGGATGTTACCGTATTTTATTTGGATTTCATGGACTTCTATTGGAGCTCTAAGTCCGCCTAGGCTTTGCAAGGTTTATTGTGTGGTGACCCAGTGTAAGAATGGGTAAGACTGTAAATATCAAAGGCTTTACCAAAAATTGACGGTTGATCTTGGTATTAATTTAAATGGAATTTCTTTAAGATTGGTTAGTTCCTCGACTGTTAGACACAGATTTGCAGTGAGAAAACCTGTTAGTCTTGTATCAATTAGTCTGGGAGAGTAATTTCCCTTTTTGAGACCTCTTTTAATCTCATCAGGATTTTTTCTACTTGAAATATTTGTATAAAATTCAACTAGAATACTGTCTAACATTTTGATATAGCTTAAGTTACAGGATCAGGATGAGTCAAGAATGGAACATACTTTTTGTTCTTTTAGATATTGATTTTTGTATTTCCTAAGCACTCTTGAAGTGTATCAAAACAGTGTTGTGTACTCGATCAGGTGAGGGAGAGATTGTGGGTTGTTTTTTTTTGGGGTGGGATTTTCTTAGGAGTACAATTTGTGTTTGAGAATGATGAAAATTTGCATACATCTGCATCTCATTTTGTACAAAAAGGGGGAGATGGAAGGAATTAATGCATTTCTAAATGGGGATCATTTGAGCAACTGCAAAGCCTGGTGGTTGGTGAAATCTCTGGCTGAATAGAGATTGTTTTCCTTTGTTAAAAGCTGGAAACTTTCTTTACCTTTTTGTATTTATTTTCCTCTCGGTTTTTAACTATATATTTTGCAATACTTTGGGAGCTGGGGAATCATCATGCATGACTGCTCTTCGTTTCTGTATGTCTTCATGCAGGGCGATGAACACAAACGAAGTGGATCTGTTGTACTTTCTGCGAGCTCTTTGAGGAAAAAGCATGGCTGGGTGCAGTTTTATTCTTGAATATGTCTATTTTCTCGCGTCGTCTCTATTTTAGTTTGGCAAGCGCTTGATGTTTAATGCGAGAGTCCATTTCCTGTACGGATAGCAAATCATATGGCGAGGAAACTGCATGCAGTTCGGTTCGAGAGGCCTGATTGACATGAGATGGATTATGAGATTCTTGCTTCGCCTGGGAAATTGTTTCTGAAAGTCAAAAACCAGTCCTACCCCCCCAGCTTCCCCGAAAAAGATGGTCGTAAAAGTGCCTCTGACCCGGCGGATCCGTGCTTCGCTTTGTGTACATGTTGTCATCCATGTTATTAAGTGAAAAATGAAGTGTTTTGCTTACAACAGTCTTAAAATGAAATCCATAATTCGTTTTTGTGCAGTCTCTACTCTCTATGGAGAAGCATTTCAGTCCTGTATGGAGAAGCACACGAAATGCCGACTTATATTTCGACTGATATTGTTATAGATCTGATTCTGAAAATTCTGTTTTTACTATTCACTTTGCTGTTTGTCAACATGTAGAAGCCATGGATTTGATATTGTGAGCATGATGTCGGAATTACTTGAGCTTGCCCCTCTATGAGTTCTTTGGTTTCCACCTTCTTTTCCTTTTTCTTTTTATAACCGTATATCTCTCAAAGCCAACGGCGCACATTTCAAAACTTGGTGGAGAGTTTGAACCTGCGACATGTGTTAAACTCACACATCACTCTCGGCGCTCTTACTACTGGACCAATGTCTGGGGCTGTTTTCTTTTCATCTTTCATTTCTGTAAAATAATCTTGGATGCGTTTGAGGCTTTGTCGCTTTGAGCCCCAATGCCAATTAGACTGACATATTGTCCAATCAGTACGGTGGGTTTCTGTAGCTGGCTTTTCACAAACCAAAAGAAATTTAAGGAAAATTGGAAGATAATTTCATTCAGTTTTGTGTTAGAGAAATGACCTTTTTTTTCCTTCTGATGAAGAACATGCCATACACGAGTGGAACCTTCTACCAATGTCCTAGGAGAGAAGGCTAAAACTGATTTCGTGGTCAATGTGTCGTATAATTTGGAGAATACATATGTTCTACATATTGGACCTTGAGATAGGGGCCAAGGGAGCCTGCTGCTAATTATTATTTGGTTAGTTGGCGGCATTACATAAATAATACTGTTGCTGAAAGAGTAAAGAGGTAGCCCTTTCTTATAGTATTATAATCTCTTACTAGTAGCTGTTAACCTGTTTCACGGACTAAATAAATTATGGTAGTTCCCATACAGATAAAATAAACAAAGCTCCGTCTTTGTCTGAATGTCAGCACCTAGTATTATTAGCATTTGAATACAAGTATTTGATGGGAACGTGAAGACCACCTTCAGGTAAAAAGGGGAAAGTTCGTTATTGGTGGCCATAACATGCCAAATTCTTACCCAACTAGTCCTCATTACTCTCAATCTGCCAGTTTTAAACGCATTTATCTTAATTCTTAACCTTGTAATCTGGAACACAAAGGAGGGATTGTAATAAATGATTGTTCTATTTAGTTATACTTTGGATGTATTAGAGTATGTGTTGAAAGTGATTAGTTAGGATAAGTTAGAAGGTATTAATATATATATGTTGACCAGGCTGTGTAATACAATTAGCCCATTAGGCTAACAACTCTCTTCCTTTAAATCATTCATCACAATTATCAGAGGAAAATCTCAGGAGCAACAGCATGGATAAAAGTCAAAAGCAGACTCTGTTAAATGTCGCTAAGCTTAAGCTTCCTTCGGTAGGTTCTTAATTATGACTTTTCCTTTCATTATCTTGGTGTTTTAGCAAGGGAAAGTCATGTTTTCAGAATAATATATGATGGGGACTTCTCTTTTTGGCAACATCAATTCATGGTGTTTAGGCTTGTTTAGTTTCTTATGAGGATTGGTGATATTAGTTTCAGGTAGTGGTGGTGAATGCAAATCTGGGATGCACACATTGCAGAGGCAGAATATCTCAAGTCATCTCAAAGATAACAGGTGAGAAAGAGTACTCTTCCCATAATAATTGTTTGTTTGGCAGTGTTAGCTATGACGGAAGTCACTTTCCATTGAAAAAAATACTCCACATCAAAAGTGTTTTCGAGGAGGAAGTGATTTTCTGGTATTTGGTTACTGAAAGACATTTTCCATCAAAGGGACACGGTGCACAAAATATCCCGTTTTGGGGGAGGGCTGCCCCAAGGGGTGTGATGTAGGCAGCTGACTTATTCTACGGCTCGAACCCGTGACCTATAGATTACACGGAGACAACTTGCATGTTGCTCCAAAGCTTCCCTTCCATCAAAGAAATTACAAATACGAATGTGCATAAAGTTTTGAATTTTAGTAACTTTGACTAAACTTGGCAGGGTTGAGGGAGTATACAATAGATGTTGGGAGAAAGCAAGTGATTGTTAGAGGAGATGTTAGAAAACATCACCAGGAAAAACATGGTGGGGTAAAGAGCCACATGATCAACGAGAACCATAGCCGGGTTTTCGCATTCTTGTTTAGTTTACTGAGATTCCGTTGGATCACTACAAAGAAGATGGCTGATTAATCGAATGAACAAAGAGTGACTTATCTTAACAAGAACTTGAATACATATTCTTTTTAAGTGTTTATTTGTTGGAAATCTTGTGTTCCCATTTGATTACTATGATTTTCTCCTTTTGTTTTCATGTATAAAAAACCAGTTTCTTTATATTCTGTCCCCTATCTTTATTGGCTATTGCAGTTAAGCGATCTCCTAAAGCAGGTGTGTTTCCTTGCTAATTGACTAGCAAAAGGAAAAAAAGAACAAAAAAGACTTCCAGATAAGAAAAACATGAATCAGTTCAACAGTTAACTAAATAAAACACTTTTGTTAACAAATATGGAGAAAGGCAGTGCTGCTCAAGTTCTAAAAGAAGATCTAATATAGTAGTGGATCTTTATTGATAGTTCATCTCCATGGAATAAAGCCGATCAACATAAACTCATCTATGCAGCATAAAAGGGCATCTGGTGCACCAAGCTCTCACTATGAGCGGGGTCCGAGGAAGGGCCGGACCACAAGGGTCTATTGCACGCAACCTTACCTTGCATTTCTATAGGAGGTTGTTTCCACATATCGAACCCTTGACCTCCTAGTCACATGACAACAATTTAATCAATTATGCCAAGTTTCCCGTTCATTGGCGTTCTAAGTATACATCAAATGTTGTTCGCTCAAGAGAAGTACTAATCGATGAACAACAAACAAAATTTAAAATCTGCTAGTACTATGATTCAAGGTATACACAAGAAGTATCATTTTTCTCAAAATATTTGCAATCCCTCCCCTAATTTTTAGAAATTCTAACAACCATCATCTAGCATTGACATTTGAGCAAATATTTTCCCAAATCCTATAAGGGGCAGCCCAATGCACTAAGCTCTCGCTATGAGCGGGATTTGGGGAAGGACCGGAACACATAGGTCTATTGTACGCAGCATTACCCTACATTTCTGCAAGAGGCTGTTTCCATGGCTCGAACCATGCAGCAACTTGACCAGCTACGCCCAGGGGCGGATTTACAGGGAGGGGTATGGGTTCACGTGAACCCATGCTCCCCTCAGTTAACTGCATATAGCACTGTAATTTTTCTGATATTATACTTAATTAGATCCACCATGCGCAAGATGCCACTTTGATACGTTGGTGAGTGTGTTCCCCTTTGATAGTCCAGGTTAGGGGTTCGAATCTCAAGTCTTTTCTTTTTCTGTTTCGTCTTCCTATTCCTTCTATTCTTTTTTGATTTCATTTTGTTGTTCTTCTTTTATTGTTTTATCTTTTCTTTATTTTATGTTTATTCTTTTTTTTTTTTGGTTCATTCTTGAGTTTTAACATTCCTAAAAAATTAAAATTCACCTCTCCTCCTTACCTCTCTTTCTATAGTCATCCTCTAACTAATTTCTTTATCATTTCTCTCATTTATATTTTCCTTCAAATTTTTCTTTAATTTGTGAAGTGAGTTTTCTTCAAATAACGATGCTATTATTAATTATTTTTAAGGTATAAAAATAATTGTAAACGAAATAATATTTCCTTGTGATAATATTATTAACCATGGTTTGTTCGGTAAGTTGTTATATCACAATTTTGATGGAGTCAAGCTAGACGGTCCATCGGTATTATAATGCACCCATACTCTTAAAATCCTAGATACGTTTTCTCGCTACGCCAATGCTCCTTTCCCCCAAATCCTATAAATATTTCATAAATGAAGTCTAAGGATTACATCAACAAAAAAGAAAACAAAAGTAGAAACTCAAAGCTATCAATCTTCTCCCATCTCACCTTTAACTACCATTTTAAGAATACCATCTTTGATTTGTGCTTCAACCTTCTCAGCTTTACAGCAATCAGTCTTAAACTCAAGACTCCCTCCATATTTCCTCCCTGATTTCTCAGTTTCCAACTCAATTTCTCCTTTCCCAGTAAAGTAAACAGTGTTGTTCTCTAACCATACCTTAATCCCATCTTCACTAACACCAGGCATTGCCACTCTCACAAGTATTCCATCCTTCATATTATCCACTTCTAGCACGTTCGGAGGTCCAGCTGACTGAAATGGGTTCTCCATTTTGATATCTTGCGGAGCACCCTTTACCATAACTGCAAATAATAACGGGAATCAAAAAACACAACTTTGATAGGAATAAATAAATGGTAAAACTACAGCGGCTCAATCCCAAACTAATTAGGATTGACTACATGAATCATGTATAGCTATTTTTTTTAAAAAAAGAGAGAAATCCCTAGGGTAAGTGGCAATAACTTCGCCTCTATCCTTTTCTACATAAATACCAGGTTTTTGTTGTCTCCAACAGGGTCTAGACCAAAGCCCTAGGCTACATTTTTGGTTTATTTTCGTTCCACTTTAATGACAAATTAGCAATATTATCCAAATCGAACACTAACTTCTATACTATTATCAATCTCTTACTAAACTAAAAAGAGTCTGGGCGTAATTTAATGTGTCAATAATCAACTAGTTAAACCCAAAATATTTACCTAATATAATTGTGCAAATATCGCATAATATAAAATGATAAATAAACAGATGAATCGGTTACTTGGGTCTGGAGACTTCTTCTCTTCTTTGCTCATGGAATCTGAATCCGAGGTGGTAGTGGAGGAAAAAAAGCGTGTGATTGAAGGTGGCGCGGTGGTAAAATGGGATTTGGGGCTGAGTAATTTGAACAGTGTTGAAACTCCGGCTGCTTTTCTCAGACTTAGAGCCATTGAAGAAGTCATAATTGATGAACAAGAGAGTGGGTGTTCGATTTGTGCTTTTCTCAATCAATCAAGGTTTTAGAGGTGTTTTTGGCAATGAAATGGTGTACTTGGATCTGGTTTTTGCCTAGGCCGCTAAGTTCAGTCCTATTAGCTTCGCTTAGGACCATTAGGCCCATTTGTATAAAAAAATTGCAGAATACACTTTTGGAGTGGTTTTAACTTTTTGACGAGGGATAACACTTATTAAACTTAAATAAAATAAATAAGGACAAAAATTCAAGACTATCGAGCTATTTTTGTAGACATTTCATACACCAATTTGGAAAATTGAGTGGTAGCTCATTGGTACGATATCCAATTTACATTTTAAAGGCTTCACAAAAACAAGGCATCTATTTTGACCCAGCACAATTATTTACACCTCATGTCTCAAGATGTTAGCCATCAGGTTTATTTTGCAATATTATCATATTGATTCTTTTAAGCTACTCTGCTACTGTAACTTGTTATGACTTTGTTTGTATGGCTTTTTATGTGGAAAATGTTTCAAATCTTGAATTTATTGACTTTTGATGAATGTCTGTATTCTCCACCCCGAGTCTGTAGTTCTAATCTCTTCAAGATATGTTAAAGGTAGATTATTTGTGAAACATTACCTGGTGTTGCCAATTAACAAGATTCACTACTCACCTTACAGCTTCAGTGGGTAACTTCTTCCTAGATTCTAGTTCTTATTGCTGTTGGAAACCCAATTCATTTGACCTTTTTGTCTTACCCATGTTGTAGTATGCATCTTATACTAGATCTTTTGTTGAAAGAATCAAAGCAGCGCAGATATAAGTGGTGACGAGTTTGGTGATATGATTGTACGGTGTAGTAGTAAAATATGTATAAACCTTAGCGTCAAGACTTGTACCAAATGTTGATAAGAGCAACTGACTAATATTTGGGATAGAAATGTGATGAACTAGCAAGTTTCACCTCAGCCTCCAAAACCAAAAAACTTGAATGATGTACTACTATAAATTAAAATCCCCTGAAAAAGGCAAACATTTAGGAGAGGAAGGCAAAAAGAAGATCTCTTCAACCAATGCACTCTAACAAGTTGCAAGTTCAGATCTTCTAATAATGAGTTAAAAAATAACACTTAGTTGTGTGCTTTGCATTCATAAGAAAACCAGAAAAAGACCCATATAGATAGTATTTGAGCACAATTCAATCTATAAAATGATTGAGTTTGCATTCAGTAAACCTAGCCAAGGCCTTAGAAGAGAGAAAGAAGCCATTGAGATGGTAGCTAATAACTGAACTTTAATCAATATTTAACAAACACTTCTAGATACATCCATGTTCGATTGTTTCAAACTTGTAGAGTTGTTGCAAGACCAAACATAAGCAAACATGTTTGAATAAGAACATTAGCTGATTTTCACTATGTTAATTGTGGAATAACAAGTTTATGAAGAGAAGCTTTCATTTTTGTAAAAGCAAAGTGTTTGCAGTACTAATACCTGAAGTACTAAATCATGTTCAATAACACAAAAGATTTCCAAAAGAAACCAGTCTTCTATGTTAAGTATTCAAAAAGTACTTCAATATATATTATGCCTAAGCAGAAGTAACCTATGCTACCTCAAGTACATAGGACTTGAGGGTGCATTGCCTGTCTTTCCTCATAACACTTTAAGCCTGCCGAAGTTAGAGGGCTCAAAACACTTAGTAACAAAACTTTCCAATGACATAATCTAAAACAAGCATATAGCAGCACAACACACAAGGGAATTCTAATCAACATGTCGTCATCCTCTCAGTGAGGTGAGGACACCAAATCAAGCTAAACGAGTAATTGCTATCACAAAATCCGTAGAGTTACTAAAAATTCAACAGCAAATTAAAGTAGTTCCAAAACGACTCAGCAAGAGTTGATTTTTCAATATCTAAGAAGGTATCTGTACGCAAGTACTTTTAATAATCTTCTATCTATACTTAACTATCCACCTAATGAGACCAATGACATGATATTCCTAAGCAGACTTACTTAACTTTTATCTCATAAGAGCCAGTCACCTTCTGAGAAGTCTTGGACTTGGGTATTACCATCCTAAGAACACCATTCTTCATCTCAGCTTCCATATACTGAGGCTGAAACGAATTCGAGCAGATCTCAATGTTGGCACTGTAAGTTCTTCCACTGTCCTCATGCTCAGACTCCTTCTTTCCATCACCTTTTATGCAGATATTCCCATATTCAACCCACACCTTCACATCTTCTTTATCAATACCCGGCATTTCCATCCTCACAAACATTCCCTCATCCACATTCTTCGCCTCGTATGACCCTCGAGGTCCAGAAATTTGGAACGGGTTTTCCATGTACTGATCAGATGCACCTTCACATAATATAAAAAAAAATACCAAAATCATCACACATTTCTAAACATAAAATCAACTTTTTGAGACATTGTAAAAAAGTTTAACATCGGGTCTTCAATTTGAGTCCGAGTCAACAAAATATTTTTCAGGTACTTACCCAACAAACAAATTAAGTCGCACGTAAGAATGGCGATACAAATAAAAATAAATAAATAAAAGGTTCTCATCAATTAAACTTTTTGGTGAACAACTATTATGCCTCAATCTCAAATAAATTTGGGTCGGCTGTATCAATCCTCATTGACACGTCACTCTATTTAAACTCATCTCATCCGAATATTATGCTAATAATGCAAATAAAAAGTATTAGTAGAACTCATGTCATGCTTATTATGTAAACACAATAAAAAATACAGCAATAGAAGTTCTTAAGCGATAATATATCTAGCAGCAATTACAAACTGAAAGGTTTAAACGGAAAGAACCATAACACCGTGTTGAAATGGTTCTCCGTATATTGATCCCGTACACCTTCAGGAAATATGAAACCACCAAATCAACCAACAATTCTGAATTGAAAATGACAAACGTAATCCTGATATAACATAAATAATTTAAGATGGTCCGCTCTCTAATAATTATCCTTTTATTAAAATATTCAACACAATTTAACGTGAATAAGTAGAGATTTGCATTACAGTCACACCAATACTTGTTAATATAGAAAGTTCACTTCGTAAAACGTGTTACAGACATAAAATAATAAAATAAAAAGGATCGAAATTATGCAAAATGAAATTGGGTTAAAATAAAGAAAGAGAAAACGACGATATATACCACGTTGAATAGGGAACTGATCAGAGCGAGGAAAAGAACCTCCAAGTGCATTGATAGTAAAGCTTTCTTCGTTAGAGTCCACAACGGAAACATGACTACTCTTATAGCTCAGAAAACGAGATGTTAACGGCGCAACGGAAACAGTACGGCCTGTATTAAGGAAGTTGGAGAGAAGGGTTGATGAAGAGTTCAATCTCTGTAAAGCAGTGCGAAACGCCATTTTTGCAGCAAATCAAGTTTTCGCAGTTTTCTTCTCACCCAAGCAGGGGATTTTCTAGAGGTTAATTATGCAAATAGATTTTCTTGACGTTCAAACCAAATGTGACTTGGAGGGGTAAAATGGACTTGTTCCTTTTTTATTTTATTTTAACCGAATGTATACTCTTCTTGGTATGTAATTGGGATAATTACTTGGAACTTCATCAAATGTAAATGAAATAAGACCAACAATTGAAACAAATTGTAAAAAGTTTCAGAATAAAAGTGAGTGCATAAATTACTTTGTCGAAACTAAAATATAGATTAGATATTGAAAAGTAAAGAATATACCACCGAAACTTATACGGTCTAAAGGTATGGTAGATATTCACCCACATAATGGGTGTTCATATAAAAGCAATTCTAACTTATTATGATCAAATGATTTAACGAAGTAAAAATTAACAATCGTTAATATAAGTGAATATGCAACTGTGTATGGATTCAATTCTCATTATTTCCTTCGCTTTATCCTCTTATCTTTTTGTTTTTCTCTATTCCTTTTTATGTCCCATTTTTTTAAATTTGTTTCCAAAAATATATTTTTATTTTAAAAATAATTTAACTTTTAATGAGATAAATTTATAGTCATAAAATTGTTATGACTTGTATAAGATCACTAATTCAAAAAAAGTTCAATTCCTTCTTAAACATAGTACATAATTAAACACCAACTTGGAATATGGAATCCTTCTATCAAGGTTTGCTCCTCAAAGTAGTCCCTTCTTATCTACCAGAAGGCATAGTGAGCGTAGTTGATTGTTTGTGAATTATGTAAGTGTATTTCACTATTTCCTTCAAAAGATAGATTATACCTATCAATATATATACAAAGATAGAGAATAATTCAAAAGTGTATCTCTAAGATTATGGTTTTTACCCACAATCTTTGACTATATCTGTAATGACCCGGACGATCGTTGTGAGTATTATAACCCCGTTCTCCCATTTACTGCTCAATTTATGCTTTATAGTTATTTTATGACTTATCGGGCTAGTTGGTTCGGGTCAGAAAGGAATTCGGAATGAAATGAGATACTTAATCTCATAATTGAAAATTTAAGTTAGAAAAGTTGACCGGATATGGACCTATATGTAAACGACCTCGGATTTGAATTTTTATGATTCCAATAGCCCTGTATGGTGATTTTGGAATTAGGAGCGTGTCCGGAAAATTATTTGGAGGTCTGTGGTGGAATTAGACTTGAAATGCCGAAAGTTTAATTTTTGGGAAATTTGACCGGGGAGGTTGACTTTTTGATATCGGAGTTGGAATTTGATTCTGAAAATTGAAATACCCCCGTTATGTTATTTATGACTTGTGTGCAAAATTTGAGGTCAGTCGGACGTGATTTGATAGGTTCCGGAGTCATACGTAGAAATTAAAAATTTCAAAGTTCATTAGGCTTGAATTGGGGTGTAATAGTGATTTGAGGGTTCGACTAAGTTCGTATGATGTTTTAGGACTTGATGGTATGTTTGGTTGAGGTCCCAGAGGGCTCGAGTGAGTTACGGGGGGTTAACGAATCATTTTTAGCCTTGGTGAGATTGCTGATATTTGTTGCTGCCTTCTTCTGGTTTCCATATATGCGATCGCATACGTCCACCCGCGATCGCGTAAGCTATTTGGTGCAGGGGTGATTTTTGTTCTATCCGGTCGCAGAGGAAGGGACGCGATCCATTACGTGTATTAAGCTGTGCTTCGAGAACGCGTGGATGAGGTCGCGTTCGCGTAGAAGGATTTGAGCAGAAGATGAGGGGAGGAGATTGCTCTACGCGATCGCGTAGGTCTGACCGCGTTCTCGTAGGTTTGAGAGGCAGTGTTACGAGTTCGCGTGGAGTCAACCGCGTTCACATAAGGCCAAATTTGGGGGTAGTCTCTTTTGTGCTACGCGATCGCGTGATATAATCCGCAATCGCATAGAGTCAATTTTTGGCAGTGGAAGTGTGTGCATCGCGATCGCGTGACTTGGTTCGCGATCGCATAGAAGAGAGGTCTCGACAAAGAGTTTAAGTTAAGAAAAACGGATTGGAGCTCGGGAAGAGGCGATTTTCGAGAGTTTTTCGAGGAAAACAACGGGGTAAGTATTCTTAGCTCAATATTGGTTAAATTATCCGAATCCATGATTGTTTTTATCATTTGATTGGTGAATTAAGTTGGAAAAGTTTGAAAACACTCTTAGTTTAAATTGAAGATTTGAGGGTCGAGTTGGGGTCGGATTTTGATAAAATTGGTATAGTTAGACTCGTGGTTGAATGAACTTCCGGATTTTGTAACCTTTGTCGAATTCCGAGATGTGGGCCCCGCGAGCGATTTTTGAGCTAAATTTTGGATTTTTATGAAAAATTAGTATTTTCTTATGAAATTAATTTCAATGAATTTTATTGACTGAAACAAATTATTTATGGCTAGATTCGAGGCGATTGGAGGCCAATTCACGAGGAAAGGATATTGCAGAATAAGAATTTCACGGCTTGAGGTAAGTAACGATTTTAAATCTGGTCCTGAGGGTATGAAACCTTAGAATTTTATGTTATGTAAATATTTTGGAGGTGACGCACATTCTAGGTGACGTGCGCATGGGCGTGCACCGAGGGGATTATGACTTGGTCCGTCCCGTGGAAACTGTAAAGTTGAATAACTTGTTGTTAGCTATGTGCTCTCTATGTGTTGTAAAAATTTGACTATAAGTCATGCTAGAAACCATGTTTAGGCTATATGATGGTACTATTGGGACCCACAGAGGTCGTGTACATGTTAAATTATCTGCTAAAAATTATTATTTTGTACTCAGTCACAACTTACTTGATTATTTTATCTCAGTCTCTATTATTCATTATTTGATGTATCATATCATTGTTGTTTGGGCTGATTTTATGATTTGTTGTGAGCTCGAGAGACTGGAGAGCTTTATGACTGAGTGAGGCCGAGGGCCTGATTGTGAGATATTATACCACATCACGTGATTTGGCCGTGCAGCACGTGAGTTGACCGTGCAGATCCTTATATTATACTATAGCACGTGAGTTGGCCGTGCGGATCCAGATATTTATATTATAGCACGTGAGTTGTCCGTACAGATTATAGCGCTTGGGCTGTAGGAGTCCCTCCGGAGTCTATACACCCCCTAGTGAGCGCGGGTACCCATTGAGTGTGAGTGCTGAGGGCTGGAAGCCCAGTGAGAGATTATTGTCCAGAGAGGTTGTACTTGTTTTTCATTGGTTGATGCACTTAGTTGCTATCTGTTGTTGTGGTGAAATTTTTGAAAAATTCTATATCCGGATTACATGAACTTGAATTGTATAAAATTGATTTGATTTAAACTGCTAGATTTGAAAGCATGTCCATTCTTGTTGGAATTACTGAAAGTGAAATATAACTATGTAGCTCATCACTATCTTCAGTTCCTTATTTATTATTGTTACTTGCTGAGTTGGTTGTACCCATGCTACACCGTGCACTATATGTGTAGATCCAAGTGTGTATGAGCACGAAGATTGTTGAGTCCAGGCCTGGTTGAGTTTCAGAGACTGCAAGGTAGCTGCAAGTGTCCGCAGGACCTTGTTACTCCTTTCACATTTCTTTCCATTTTGTACTGATATTTAGATATTGGCTGTAATAGTTTTAAATACTTAGACGCTCATGACTTGGTGACACCCCGATATTTGGGGTTCTTTTTCCGCACTTTATTCCAAATTTGAGTTTAACTTTGATTTTATGAAAAGTTCCTGATATGGAAAGCCTTACTTTACTTTTATATTTAGTTTGGAAGTATTTTTGGGAAGGTCGGCTTGTCTAGTATCACCGATAGGCGCCATCGCGACGTGTTAGATTTTGGGGTCGTGACAATACCATCAGACATAATCTAACATACAATCTAACATTGAAATACTTTCTGACAAGATCTAAGTCTTAACACTCCCCCTCAAGCTGGAGCGTACATGTCATATGCTCTAAACTTGCTACAAATGTATTCAATCCGAGCCCCTATAAGGGACTTAGTAAGAACATCTGCCAATTGGTCATTTGAACCGATGAAGCTAGTGACAATGCATCCGAACTCAATATTCTGCCAAATAAAATGAAAATCCACCTCTATATGTTTCGTCCTTTAATGAAAAACTAGATTTGAAGCAATATGAAGGGCAACCTGATTGTCGCATATAAGCTCCATCTGTTTGAACTCAACACATTGTAACTCTTGGAGGAGTTGTTTCAACCAAATAAGCTCGCATGCAGCGAGGGCCATAACTCAATATTCTGCTTCTGCACTAGATCTTGCAACAACATCTTTCCTTTTACTTTTCCAAGAAATTAGATTTCCCCTGATAATGACACAATACCCAGAAGTAGAGCGTCTATCTGACGGAGAACCTGCCCAATCAGCATCAGAATATCCAACAATGTTTGTGTGACCTTTGTCTTCATGTAATAGTCCTTGTCCTGGAGCTTTTTTGATGTATATTAGAATGCGAATTACTGCGTCAATGATCTTTACATGGAGCTTGGAGAAACTAACTAACCACACTTACTTCAAATGAAATATCAGGTCGTGTGATAGTAAGATAATTCCGTTTACCGACCAGTCTTCGATATCTGCCAGGATCTTCTAATGGCTCCCCCTGTTCAGGGACGAGTTTGACATTTGGATACATAAGAGCGTCAATAGGTTTGCAGTTTAACATACATGTTTACTCAAGTATTTCCAAAGCATATTTTCTTTGTGAGATAGTGTAGCACCCCGGAAAATTTTTAAGTACTTAAACGCTATTAAGAAAGTTGATGTGCGCTAATTATATTATTTTATGTGCAGACGAGGATTATTAATATGATGGATATCAATTGGATATGATAATAAGTGTACTAGGAATATTATAAGTGATGTGGGGTCTATGGATAGCCCTAAGTCCAAGTCAAGTTGGAAATTTCATGATAGACTAAAGTTGCAAATGAGTACGCACAAGATCAAATTTTCGACGAGAATATCTACATATA